TTTATAAGTAGTGCATTGAGATCAGTACCAAACATTGTGGGAAGAAGCCATAAATAGACAGAGGGGCCCAGGCTAAAAGGGAAACATACATGGAAATAATTACATTACTGGTACAGTTGCTCTGTAGAAAACTAGTAAAATGGTAGTGTAGTCGATAAGATTAGGAGAAAGTGAGAAAAGGGTACAAAAAGAAGTTTAAGTTTCCCTGTAGTGTAGGTGGACAAAGATCCCTGTAGTGTAGTGTAGGTGGACAAAGATTGAATATGGACAGCCATTTAGTTTGTAACTAGAAAAGTAAATAGTAGGAGTTACAATCCTTTAACTTGGTCATTTTATTTGTTGCTGTCAGTACTGTGTCCAGTGCTAGAAATAAATTTTAAAGATACACACAGATGTGCTTTCAGAGCTACATGAACATTCTTACAGGCAAGAGAATACAATGAAATGTTTAATGTGGTCACTTTTAGTTTAAATGCTTTCAGAGGAACAAATGATAGTGTATTAGCAATGCTTCCCATGGAGCCAGTTATTGGAAACCCCTGAAATTGGTTCCAATCTCTTGCTTGGGTTATGGCACATGGTGGGAAAGGAAAGAAAGACTAAGACAGAAGCTCTTGTAATTGCTTAGCAAGGATCTGGGACTACCAGTTGTTCTCTAGGAGCAAAAGGTTCTGAATCTCCAGCTAGCAAGCATTTTATTAGCCAATACAGGGGAGGACATAAGAGTGTTGATTCCATAGAGGCAATAAAAAATGGGTAAGATTAACATCATAAAGGGAAAAAGCCAAAATCCGTCCACACACCTGGGTGCTAATCTCATGGACCAAGAGGAAAGTGATTTCCATATTTCAAAACCAGCCCAGGAGGTAGGCAGGACTTACAAAGGAGAGCCTAGGACCTTCTATGTCAGTTAATAATTTATGGTCCCCAATTGTAGTAGCCATGGAAAATAAATCTTAGGAAGGTGGACATGATAAAGTCACTTGTAACCTCAGCATTCTGGGAAGCTAAGCAGAGAAGTTATGTGAGTTCTGGGCAACTTAGCAAAAAAGTGTTTAACTGAAATGTTAGTATAGAAATATTTGTAAGATAGTACTGTTGGACCTTTGGACATACGAGAAAAGGTGATAGATGACTACTATTGGCAAAATCAAACATCCCATCCTTCTTTCCTTTGATTTTTTTTTTTTTTTTTTTGGACAGGGTCTCTATGCAGTTCAGGCTGGCCTTGAACTCACTTTGTAGCCTAGGCTGGTCTCAGCTTCCCGAGTGCTGAGATTAGGCATCAGCCACCACGCCCAGCTCCTTTAAATTTCTTTGACTTTACTTCTGTTTTGTACATGTTTAATGTAACTTTCCTGGTATATTCTGTTGGTCAGTTGTTGATGTTCATTGAATCCCATTTTGCATGCTACACAAACTTTGCTGAGTAATCTCATCCAATTCGATTAGTTTATTAAGTGTCAATGCTTAACTATTATTTTGTATTGAGATCACATTGTCAGCCTCACCATTCTAATTCTGTACCTTTGGAAGTTGAATTCCTTCTCTAAGACCTTCTCTCTTTCTGCATTCTTTCAAGTGAGTTACACTAACCCAGTTTATAATGTGTGGATAGTGTTTTAAATAGCTCCCCCCTCTTTACCACCTTTGATACAGCTATCCTTATCTACTTTGTGCTAACTTTTTTTCTTACAGTCCTGGGGATGGAACTGTGGAGCACTCATTGAGCTGCATTCCTGGCCCTTTTAAAAATTTTATTTTTTATGTTTTGAGACTAGCCCTTGTTAAGATGTCTCAGCTGGCTTTGAACTTTGGTTCTCCTGCCTTACCGGCCTCCTGAACAGCTGAGATTTCAGGTGTGCACCACCATTTCTGGCTTATTTTCACATTTATTGGACTATCTCTGATGTTACTTAATTCTCTTTATTAAACTGTTAGAGAAATCATTAATATTTAAGTATAATAACCTTCAATTTCTTCTGTGCCTTCCCTTCATCTATCTAATAAACTTACCCAAAATAGTGTTCTTCCTCTAAATCTTTCATTCTTAGTGACAACTTAGTGTGTTAAACAACCACATAAGTTAAGTGTTTTAGGCCTTGTAAATTCTAGGGTCTTTGTGCCTTGCTGTGTTATAATAAAACTTAATTTGCAAAAATAGGGTAATGGGTAGAATCCAAGTTTGCCAATTCATGACTCCTCTGGCACACCTTGTTTGATAACACCAATCTTTGTTTATGCTTTTACTTTAGAACCTATCTTACCAACAAAGTGTCTAGACTAACCGCATAATGGGTACCCTTTTTTTTTCCTTTTTCTTTCTTTTTCCCTTCTTTGTTCACTTTTCCTTTTCTCTTTTGCTAAGAATCAAATCTGAGGCCTGTTCTCTGAATACAGCCTCAGCCTTTTTATTTTTTTGAGACAGGATCCCAGAAAATTTCCAAGGCTGGCCTCAAATTTAAAATCCTACCTCAGGCTCCCAAATAGGTGGATTGTTTCTATGTGCCACCATGGCTGGCCCTAAAAGTTTGAGCCAGAAAAATTTCATACTGGATGGTAGTAGTCTGATGAATTACAAAATCTTAGCAAAATTGCCTACTTTTGATTTTCCTAGCAGAAACCTTTACTTACATTACCTGCATTGGCCCTCTGGTCATTTCAAGTAACTTTGTATAATTGGTTGCTATGATCCCGCTTCAAAAGAAAATAGGCAAGTTAAACATTTGACTTATAAGGGTGTGAAGAGGGTAGTCTTAAAAAAAATGAATTCTGCAACCTTATATTATTAGCGTTTCTTGAGGTAGTTAAAATGTTATACACACTAACGTCTTACTCAAAATGAAATGTAATCTAAGCAGGCAAAATGTAAAACCAATGCTTTTCTGTATTTTCTTATCACTATTAATATTGCTACTTGTTAGTAAGGTTGTTTAAGCATGGCATATAATCAGATGATACTTAATTTTGTTTTCTTTTGGTTATCTTAACCTTGTTTGCATTACAAGGAAATTTAAATTTTGATAAAGAAGGGCTGGGAATGTAGCTTTTGGGTAGAGCACTTGCCTAGCATGTGGCAGCCCTGGGTTCAATCCCTGGCGCTGCAGAAATTATTTTTTAATAAAGGAAGTTGCCAGCAGTCATAAGAATTATACTAAATAATAAGGAAGGTACCCAGGTATGGTGGCAAATGCCTGTAATCCCAGCACTAGGGAGACTGAGGCAGAGGATTGCCATGAGTTCAAGGCGGCTTGAACCATATAGTAAAACTGCCTCAAAAAAGACCAACAACAACAAAAAGGGAAGGGAAATTTGTATTTTTCAATTCTGCTTATTTCTTGGCTAGTAGCTGTACTGACATGGTTAGTTTTTCTGTTTTATTGCTTTTCCCCCATCAGAAGTCATAATTCACTGCTCCACAGCCACAACGTTTTAGGTTGATAAAATTTTCTTACCTAAATCATTTAAAAATCCATGTTGAACATGGTGATGCACAGGTGTAATCTCTGCATTCAGGAGATGGAGGCCAGAGGATGGCTAGAGTGTACAACCATCCTGAACTGCGTATTAAGACCCTGTCTCAAAAGGAAGGGGGAAAAAAAAGGACCGAGGGTGTAGGTCAGTGGAACAGTGCCTGCCTGGCAAGTGCAAGATCCTGAGTTCGATTGTTGGTATCAAAACAACCCTAAAAATAAAAATCTATAGCACTTGAGTAAAACCTTAGGTTTAGTGATCTAGTTTAAGATAAGGAAATGTCTTCAACCTATTAAAAATGCTTCCTTTTTTGTTGTTGTCTTTATTCTAAAATATGTATGTTTTTATTTATTTATTTATTTAATTTTTTTGTCTTTTTCTTTTTTATCGGTACCGGGGATCGAACTCACGACTGCCTGTTTGCAAGGCAGGCGCTTATGCCGCTGAGCTAAATCCCCAGCCCCAATATGTATGTTTTTAAAGCACTATATAGATGTGGTTGTTGCTGTGATCCATCCACCCTAATCCTCATCCCCACTCTGGCAACACTGGGGCTTCAACCTAGAACATTTGCCAGGCAAAGCACTCTACTACTGAACTCTATCCCCCAGCCCTTTACTATGACTTTGTGTCCTTCTTCCTCAAAACAGGGACAGGTTGAGGCTTGGGTATAGAAGAGGAAATGTTTATAGCATAGATAGGCTAAAATGAAAGGTTAAGTTTTTCTCAACATATAAATACACAGTTATCTTTATATAAAGCCAACCGAAAATAAGTGTTGAATAAGTAATCGCCATATAAAACATATCAGGAATTTATTTGCTTAAAATGTGAAATTTGTGTACTTAGACTAAAAGAAAATACTGTTAATTTCTTTTTTGCAGTGAGGTCAACTAAGATAAAGCTTATGTTTGGATTTTTAAAAAGGGCCATTCTTTGCCAGGCATGGTGTCTCATGCCTGTAATCCTAACACTGTGGAAGGCAGAGAGAAGTAGGAGGATCCAGCAAATTAGGGAGGTCCTATCAGTGAAAAAAGGGCTGAGAAATGCAGCTGGGGAGTTTGAATGAAGGCCCTTAGGTCAACTCCTAACACCCTTCCCCATAAACAGGGCCATTTTGAGATGAAGAAATTTATAGGATAACAGCTATTTTGTTTTGTTTTTGGTACTGGGAATGAAACTCACATCCTTGTGCTTGCCAGGCAGGTGCTATGCTGTAAGAACATTGTGGATGTTTTATTTTGAAATTAGAGCAAATGAGGATTGTGTGTCATTAAAAGACATGGTATGAATTGGCACTTTTTACTTTATGGTTTATAATAGAGATATGATTTAGAGGTCAGAATCACTTGCCTGAGTGCTTAAACTGTTAAGCTTTATTATTCAAAACATTTTGGTACCTCATTGAAGAATGTAGGGTTACCAAGAACTATGTATGGATTTTGTTTTTAAATAGCAGAGAACCATGAGAAAAGCATTTTTGTTCACTGAAAATTGGTAAAGTAATCCTTTTCTGTTTTTTGTAGAAATGGAATCTATTTGGAATTTGCAGAAGCAAGGTAAGAATGATTAGATTAATTGCAATGTCTAATTAGCCATGAGCATTTTATATTGTATATTGTGTTAATCACTGTAGTCAAAAGGCACTAGCTGCAGGGCTAGAACTTATTAGGCTGGGAAAACACTAATTAAAAAGAATGGGTGAAAAATACCCTTTTATCTGCTGGGAAAGAACACAAGCGGCCTTTTCATTATAATTATGAAAGACAAGAAGCTAAAAGGTATAGCTCAGTAGTAGTGCATTGTTAGCCTGTACTAGGCCTTGAATTCAATCCCTAGCAGTGCCGAGTAAAATTCCCATACATGTTATTTTACATATTAGGGAAATGAGGCACCCTTAGGTTACTATATAAATCAGCTGGACTACAATGTAGGTTCCCTTGATTTCCTAACTGTTCTTTCTTCATCCCCCCCTCCCCATTTTATTTCGTTTTGCAGTATTGGGGGTTGAACCCAGGTTCTTTACACTGAACACCTCCACAACAGCCCACCCCATCCTTTTTTGGGAAATGTAGGCCTCTCTAAATTCCAGTGGCTGGGCTTGAATTTGCAGTCCTCCTGTCTCAGCCTCTAGAGTAACAGGAATTTGGAATAATATTTTAGAATAAAACTGTAGAGCCCAGGGATATAGCTCAGTGGCACAGCACGTGCCTGGCAAGCACGAGATCAGGGGTTCAACTCCCAGTACCAAAAAAAAAAAAATAACTGATCTTTGTCCAGTCACATTCTATTTTTGTTTTGAAATAAAAAAAAAAAAATCCATAGAATGGATTGATTGATTGATTGATTGATTGATTGATTATACTGAACTCTGAGCCTTTCCCACATGCTGAACACATGCTTTTGATTCTATTAAGAATAAAGTGGTATTGTGCAAAATAAGGAATAAACTAAGGCATGGTTAGAATTAAATTATTTGGGCCAAACTACTTTTTTTTTTTTTTTGGTCTTTTTTCATTTTTATTGGTACCAGGGATTGAACTCACAACTGCCTGCTTGCAAGGCACATGCATATGCCGTTGAGATAAATCCCCAGCCCCGGGCCAAACTACTTTAACCTAAAATGGTTGGTGCTAGATTTTGCTTAAACCATTCCTTGCTGAATGGTACACTCTGATTAAAATTAAATAAATTGAACCATTGCTGGTCTGTATGGAATTTGAGGTCCTCATTAGTTGGAAGGTCTTACTGATGGGAATCTGTTGTAGTGCCAAACAATTACTTTTGAGTTGAAAGATTAGATCACACATATATTTGATATAGAGAAGAAATGACTATTGAATTGTCTTGTAAGAAGAAAAAGGATAATTACTTAGAATTTGGTTTTGGATCCACAGGTGATTCCAGACCTTATTTTTATTTATTTTAATCTTTCCTGTAGATCCCAAAAGGATAATCACTTACAATGAAGCCATGGATAGTCCAGATCAATGAAGGACCAGACTGCCTATTCATCACTTTTCTGCAGCATTAGAGCCACCGTTCATGAGGGACACAAGGCTTTTATGCTCCTAGATCTTCAATGCAGCAGAGGAACCATAAGTAGAATCACAGGATAATATATACAAATATATATATATACATATATATATATAGTTATTTAAAAAAAGGCAACTGAAAGTAATTAGACTTCTTAAGGAATCAAATTTATTTCAAGAGACTACACATGGTTATTTAATCTCCGGTACTGAATAATTTTTTTTGTTTTGTTTTTCCTTTTGTTAGTTTTTTTTTTTTAAGTGTGAATGCAAGTGATTAATGAATACAGACTTAACAAGTGTGGTTCTAAAAGTTCCAGCTGTCATCACCTTGGGCTACAAATGACCCAGTGAAAGAGGCAAATCCACTTAAAAGATCCTCTGTATCTTGTTCTGTGACTAAAGTGATACACTAATCACGGGGAACCCAGAATGATTCAACATTTTCCTCTGCTCCCTTGATTTTGGTTTTACTTTAAGCCCTGCGAGAATGCTGGATAAATGCCTTGAAGTTTGCAGGGGTGTATTTTTTTAGTGAATATGATTTGCATGTCTTGCCAGGAGTTAAGCAGCCTCTGTGGGGTGTTGGGAAAATATTTTCTTTCCTTTCATTTTTTTTGTGGGGTGGGAATAGGGGAGGGTCTTGAAGTTCTACAATTCTGGAATAGTTGGTGGGTACATAGTTAACTTGCTTTGGTTACATGTTGGACTTTTTAACAACCGAAGAATCCATGAATATTAAAGAAAAGTTGCAGAACAAGCAATTGGCTTAGATATGAAACAAAATTCTTGTGCCCATATTTTAATGTAATTGTATAACTGGGAGCAAAAATATACTCTGCTTTTCAACTGTAGGTGCTCCAGACTTGCTCTCTGTCACTAACACTAAATGTGCAGTTTTTTTCTCATTTTCATCAAAGAGAAATGTATGTATCTTTCTGTAAATTCTCTTTAATTTCTCAGCAAAATCTAAAAGGGGAAGAAAAAACTCATGAGAATTAAAACTTACATGTTTTTAGCCATTGAGGTGTTAATGAACCCTGCTAATAGGAGGTGTGTTTTCATGCAAATTATACTTCTGAGCTTACTAGCGTCTAATTATATCTTAATAAATATATTTTATTACTAGAGCAAAATGGATTTTTAGGGAAAATAATGTGAAATTCTGGAAATTTTGTTTTGGGCAGAGAAGAGCATTAGCCCTGTCTTATCACATTGCCATCCTGTTGCACTGCAGCTTGTGTATAGCATGCTAAAATAAACTTTGTGTGTGTGAAGAAACTAAGGGTCCAATTTAAGATTGGGTGATGTTAGTGGCATAATAACAAGTTCTCTGGCCTGACATAGCATCACACACAACACACACCTACACAAAAATTAGTATATCCATGTATGTCAAATACAGGTTGAAATAGTGGGGCATTTATATAGTCATAGTCTTGTAAAAGTAGACCGGATCCCCTGGGAGTATTTGGGGAGAAAGTAACTACTAATTTTGCTCTACCCCTTTGCTTAAGAAATGTCCAGTTTTGAGCAACTGTTGTATGGATGGGTTTTCTTGTTCTGTTTATTGAGACTTTTAACAAATACAGTTTATGAAAGAATCGGTTGGGCTCAATGTTAGAGTAGAGCAAATATCTTTTTAGTCTGAATTTCTGCCCTGCTTAGATTTTTAAAAAGTATAAGCATGGATTGCCAATTCCACTTGATGTAAACAAAACTTTTTATACATAATATATATATATAATAACTTATTGTATCAGTCCAGGTTCAGAAACTTGTGGTAGGCCAGTTCCAGATAGTTTCATTTCACCTGTAAACTGTATCACTTTTACTGATAATTGTAATTTTCAAATGTATAATATGTTTACAGATGTGCCCTGCATTTAGTCTGCCTTGTTCCTATTTTGATTTTTGTTGAGTCTCCTGCCTGCTTGCCAAAAGCTAGGATGCTTCAGGCCCATGTACAATTGAAATGAGAGGCATCCTTGAGCTTTAAAGCATTGAACAAACTGGAAAATGCAACATACCACATACTGAAGTGAAAAGTCTGTGTTTTTGTGTTTTTTTTTTTTTTAAATAAAAATTTTCAAAAAGTTCTTTTAAAAAAGAAAATTGATTCAAGGGGGAAAAAAGGCTCCAGTTTGTTTTACAGGTTTTAAAGTTCTGCTGTGTGTTCAATTGCCTTGTGTAACCACTTGTCGCCTTAGGGCCATATTCCTATCCATTCCCCCTTTTTGAATGTCCATTTTGCTTGCCTAAAAATTTCAATTTCTTATGTCTCACAACTCATGAGAAACTTCTGGGTTTGTGACATACAGAGGTCGAATGAACATATATTCAAAAAAGGAAAACAAAAAACAGTCCCCATCCAAATTGGGCTTATTTTAGAAGCAACACTTAATTTATACCTTTCGAAAGCATTTTTCTTAATGTCCCCTCCATATCCCTCAGACCTCTGTTCAGAGAAGCTAAAAAGAATGTATCCCTTCTCTGTTCGTCCAAAGGTTTTTTGAGAGTCTTCTAAATGAAACAATGCAACATTTCACTTTGATTATTCCACTGAAATTTTCTTGATTATATGGTTAGAGGTATATAGTAGTTAGGAATGTCTCTTAACTTTCTGAGAACCCTAGTGCCCCATCATATTAACTGTCAGTATTGTGGGGGCATTGGGTTAATGGATTTAATTGCCTAGGTTCAAGCAGGACTTTGGGACAAATCTCCTTTGTGCTGTTTGGTTATACTTAATTAACTCTCCTTGTCGCAGTCTCTCCTTAGGTCCTCACACAATTCCTTACAAGAGCACTTATTAAAAGTTCTTAAGAGTTGATCTGTTTTCTGGTTATTTTTGTGTAAGCTTCTAAACAAACTTCAGCTGTGATTTATTTAGCACATTTAAATAACAATGTGTTATTCAGTATAAAGAATTTTTCTTCAACTCAGAGTATTAGTACTGTAGCATAAACCAAATACAGTCTAGAGGGGATTTTTAACATCCCTCCATTATAAAGACTGAAAAGGGGTGTGTGTGTACACTGGGTGTTTGTGTGTTTGGGTAAAATGGAGATATTAAAAATTAGTAAATGAATGTGTGTAAGACATATTAGTATTCAGAGAATGAAACTTGTATTTATTTTGTGCCATTTGTTTTCATTACACAGAATAAAGTCAGGTGGTTTAAATCTTTAAAAGGGTAGTATTTGAAATATGGCACTATGAATGAAATCATGACCTATTTTTTAATAGCTATGAAGATACTAATTATGGGTGAAGATTCCTTTTTAAATTTGTCTTGATTGTAGGCTTTTGTGTCACATACCACTCTTGTACAGATACCTTGAATAATCCCTTCCCTACAAAAGACAGGGTGTATTTATCTTTTTATTTATCCCCACTTTGCATAGCCTTTCCTCCATTCTCCTTAGTTATGAACCTTAACATAGTGTATTCACAGCATCTGTAGGAACCCTCACTTTTCTATGAGGGGATCAGCCAATAACAAGGAACTTACTAATGATAGCCCCCTCCCACACACACACGCCAAATAAATGGCCAGAGAGTTCCTCCATTTTAGTGTTTGGCTGTCCTTACCTGCTTACCTAATCAGTCATCACCCAAAATCTACAAAAACTTTTATGAAGGAAAAAGCCCCTGCTGCATTGTTTTCTCAAATCAGTTTTTAGGAAAAATATGACAGACCAACTATGGGAGTTATCCACATGATAAAATGTGTTTTCACAAAATAATGGTATAGCAGCAGTAATTTCATATTTGGTTTTTAAGAGTTGCTAGTCCACATTGGAGACATCTTAATGATTTTTCTTTTGTAATCATGAGTTTCTACACAACACTCAAAGTCATTTTAGTGAAATTATATGCCACATACCAAATGACAAGGGAGAAGTATGTTAAATGTTGAACATCTAAGCATTAGGGGTACAGTTAAGTATAGGAATCCCTCATATATGCTAACTGCAGAACTGATACACTGTTAGGGGGAGGAGTACATACAATGGGCAATAGTTTTTATAAGACCATTGATGCTATACCAGTCAAGGTAAGATTCAGATAAGAAAGTGTCTTAGTAGCTATGTCCAAAACTTACCTATTGAATTTTAAAGGAAGGAGAGAATTTACTTAATATATCCCAACCAGTTGTTTGAAAGGGACAGGCAGAGGACAAGACTAGAAGTATAAATAGCTGCTATAAGTTTGCTAGGGACACAAATGAACATTAGTTGTTTAAATTGATGTTATTTTTGTTAGTTGATAGCATCAGAATTTATGATGAAGATAGGCTTCTGCTCTCAGTATCTTAATTTTTTTTTTTTTTTAATCAGTCTGTTCAGAGAACCAGGACCACCATACTGGGTTGGTTTAAAGAATGATGAATCAGCTCCACTCAAAATCACTGCTTTCCTGAGTTTTAATTTTCATAATTTTGCTGCTTAATAAATAAAGTAGAAAGGATGTCAGCAATAGTAACAATAGAGTTTTTAGTTGTCTCCATGATAAAACACCCAGTGAAGCATGAATGGTATATTGCTTTTGCATTAATGGGAATGTCAAACTATAGTAGCAGGCTAGAAACTGAAACAGCCATTCTCACATATGAGATTGTTGATTCAGACTTCCATATTCATAAAATTCTGTTAAGTTCAGAGCTTAAAAGCCATTTTATAATCTGCAGTATCCCTTTTCTAATAGCCTTACTAAAATTATTTGCAGGTTTTTATTTTTCAGCTCAATTGTGCTTTCACTGTATATCAAAGTTGTACTCTACAGACCAACAAAGCAATTTGAGATAAGTAGCTTTTCATATGCCCTTTTTTTCCTCAGGTGCTAATATACAAAGGCTCCAAAATGGATACTGCTTTAGTAATGTCTGCTTTCTTCTTAAAATGCATTATTTCTTTTGCTAGATGTAAAAGTTTGGTGTTAACAAAAGTTTTAGTATGTAAATATGAATGGATGGCTTTAGTTTGCTTTTGTTTGTGTATTAGTCTGTTTTCATTTATCCTCTGTAGAGGAGGATCCTTTCATGACCTTCAATACATTTCATTAGATATTGCGTTTTTAGAATGAAAACACAGCTGTTTTCTGTCTTAGATTAATTCTGCTGCTGCTATGAGAAACTGAAAATCAAGAATGTGATGCACTTTTTACATTACTATATATCATACATATACCGTAGGTTGCTTTGATACTTGTTCTGTAGCACAGCCACTAACAAGAGTGAATTTTATAAATCTCTGTGGGAGGGAATCAGTACCAGGAACTGATCCATAGTTAGTATTGGCCTATGAATGACAATAACTTAGGAAAATAAAAATTCTGTTTAGTATTACACTTTTTGGCCTTAAAATGTCTTCTACTGCTGAAAATATTTTAATCTTAGCTTTGTTTTATTGTTCCCTCTCTCTGCCTGAAAAAGAGAAAATGGGAAGAGTGGCTTAATGGAAGTAGTGTTGTTGGTTTATTGATAATCTTATAGAAAACAACTGTCTACTATGTAAGCTGGGATTTATTTTTGTTTGTATACCAAGGAGAAATACTGTCCTGAACCAGCAAATTTAGTTAAGTTAGTCAAAACTCCCAACTATTCTGCTTCTCTGACTTTTTTTTTTAAATTTAGCAAGGGTTAACTGTAGAAGGAATGCTACTTGACAAAAAGGAAAAGTCATTTCTCAAGCACATACTCAGACTTGAAGGACACGGGACCCAAAATAATGGGGAAAAAACACCAAATGAGGTGGAGGAATGTGAAAAGATGTGTGGTCCAAAGCTATTTGGTTATATTTTAATGTTGCCAATATTGTAGAGCCAAAATTTTTAATTTGCTTATTTAATATATTTGTTGGCCAGAGATCTATTTTTATATCAATGTGCCTTGCATGTATGTTTAAAATTTTTGGAAAGGCCATGTAGTAATGCCTGAGACAGTTGATGGTTCTTTAACACCTCACTAATTTTTATGCAGTATGAAATGCTCGTTCTATTGCCCAACTGGTGCTCTCTGTTCAAAGTTACAGATCTTGTCAAACTGGAACTATTTTGTAAACAGGAAACTATTTTGGTGGTTTCTTTTTCTTCTTTTTTTTTTTTTTTTAAAGTTTGTTAGTGGCTGTTTTGTAGTGGGAAATAGTAAAAGGATTCTTTACTTCTTTTCCTTCCCCTAACCCTAGCACCTTCAAGTAATGTGATGATACCATTTCTTGTGTGCTTTGAAAAAAAGATTCAGGTTGCTGTCTCCTTAGTGTTATAAAAAGTATTATTGAAAGCATTGTTTCAAAATATAGGGAGATAATGGAGTCCATGATAATTTGGGATTCTGTGTGAGCTTTGATCCAAGTCATTGGCTCTTTCCAACTTTAAAATTTTTATTGTTAAAGCACCTTGCTTAAAAAATTTTAAATATTTATGTCTGCAACAATTGTCTCAAAATAATAAACTGTGCAATTCTTGTTATTAAAAAAAAAAAACCTCTCCCTAATGTGACTTGTTAGTTTCTCTGTATTTCCTGCCAGTGTAAATGTGAAAAGCTTTGCTTGCATTACGTTTTAGAAATGCATTTTGCACACTCAAATTTTGCCGAAGCTCCGTGAAAAGATTAGACCTAAGTAGGTGAATAAAGCTATGCACATGTTTTGAAAGTTTAATTTGTGTGTCATTATAAAAAGTGACCTATTTGTTCCTATTATTTCATTGTTCTTAGCTTTACCATCTTTGGAAACATGGCTCAAAGTTACAGTTGTAGGCTAGTTTATCAACAGAACTAGAAGAGAGGGGAAATTGGCAACCATTTTAATAAAGTTGAGTTTGACTTGAATCTGTTAAAGGGCTTTTCTTGAAAAGAGGCAGTTTTATGAGCTTTGTAAACCTTTGGATGCTCTTTCTCAGTGAAATTTTGGCTTATTTGATGAAAAAAATGGGAAGTACTCAAACTGAAATGAAGGAAAGACTTGCTACATGGAGCTCTGACAGTTTTCTCATAAGGTGACTTAGAGTAGGGTAGCCTTCCTTGTATTGAGTGCTTTGTCATAAATTTGATTCATTACATGAGTGGTCTGATACTAGAATCAGTTGTTTAATGATCAAAGCACAGATTGTTTCAAAGATAATGTATATCTTTTAACAAAATTGTCCAAGCTGATTTTTAAAAAAAGGTTTAGAAATTGGGTATATTTGATTCAAACACTGAAGTTTGCATGAACTAAATAGCTTTATTTTATATGTATGTGTGCTTAAGGTTGTGTACATGTCCTAGCTAGGTCTTATAAAGTCATCCTTTACAAGACTTCGGTAATCTCAGGACCTTTGTAGAAGAGGCTATAAGTTTAATTAGAAGTTATTACTAATAGTATTTTCCTCATCCTCCTAGATAAAGAAATCCTGTCTTATAGCTTTTCCTGTGAATTAGAAGAGGATGACTATCATCAAGCCTGCACTTGATAAATGTTAACTTTGAAAATGCAGCAAAACCCTCCTGTATGTATCTTCAGTGATAGTGGCAATTAATAAGTATACTAGTCAAGATTTGAAAGGTAACTCAATACATGGCATTAAATGGTAGAAATGAAGGAAGTATAGCAAGCATCATCTTAGATGGCTTTGGCAACTTTTTTGCATCTGTCATTCACTTACCCAGTCACTTAGAACATGTTGGAAGAGCAAAGTGGTTTTTGATGTGCATAGGCACTTAGGAGGTGAGTTACCTCAATTCGGGGGGGAAGGATGATTAGTTGATTACAGTTATGTTAGATATTTTCCCTTCCTTCTCAAACATTTTTTTCAATGTTTTGCCCAGCAAAAAAGATGAGTCTTTAGATAAAAGAACAATGACCAGAAATTTACCCTTTTGCTTAAATGCTTAGGTATTTGCTATAGCTGTTTCAGATGTCATGGATTCTGAGGAAGTGTCACATAATGATCTTCCTTTACTGATGTCTTAATGTTCAGTGTTTTAAAAAATAAAAATTACAAACACTTTACAACCATACTCAGATTTACTTATTTTATCAAAATAAAAAACCCAAGAGATTTGTAGATCAAATTGAGACAAGTGTACATTGTTGAATAAAAAATTTTAAAGTTTGAGGTGTTTGTGTTATCTTTTGTGTGCTTTAATTTTTTAAAAAGTCTTTACTAAAAATTTTAGTTAAGATCATAACATTGATAATGTCTTCTCCCACAAAGAATTTAAATCTTAGATGTATGGTGTTACATCTTTTTATTGTCCTGTAGTCATTCAGGTTTGTGCTTGGAGTTAGCATGTTTATTAGCTGCTTTGCCTTTTTGAGGACATTAAGCTGTATGCTCTTCCATTTGAAATAAACTGAAATTGAGCTAAGTAATCAACTAGAATGTTAAGCTGCCAAGAATCGATTTATTCATAACTTCTGGTTTTAGATATATGTGGTGGTATACATTACACTTACTGCTTAGCACAAATTTTGTAAAAAAAAAAAAAAATAGAGCCAACATATTAGAGTAAGGGTTGGTAAGAAAATAGTAATAGGTAGTTTAAATGCTTTATTCTTTGAGAAAGCAAATAATCATCCCTGGCCTGCTAACTGACTTGGAAGGACACAAAAGGAATTTGTGTTTTATTGAAGTTCATCTTTAAAAATTTTCAGCCACTTAAGTGTGCTTTGCGTAAAGAGTATTAATTCAGTCTACAAAGTTTCTTGTTTTTTTAAATGACATTTATTGTGGATTTCAGCAGCTAACATTTGGAAGCAGTGTCTGAGCAAAACATAAAACTCAAGTGCTTAGGAAGGTCTCATGGTTGAGGAATTCTCTTTATTGGAGGTTTTAATCCACTACTGCTGGATACGGCGAATAGATTGGATCTGGGAAGTCTGAGCATGAGAACCCCATTCTCTCCAGTGTTTATAGTCTCCTCCATGATGGTCACATTCCAGAATGTACTGATAACCACGATATCCAGGGTACTGGTAGCAAACCCAGCTAGGAAATTGAAAGTATACTGCATTATTAAAAATACTGTAGTAGCAATCTGGCAAACACCCTAAAACACCTTAGACTCTCAACACAATGATGCTTCTAGGCTTAGAGAACAATAGTCATCTTTAATATGGCAGACACCATTTGTGAGTGGAAGACGGACATTAACCTTGATAGATGAAAAGTGACTAGTCAATGTACATGCCTAGGAGCAGTGGCTGGGGGAATATTAACAGCAGCTGGTGCAAATTGTCAGATCCAAAATAATTAAAATGTGATATCTATACCACTATGCCAGCATATAGACTAATAAACATGACCATTAATATTTACAAGGCTTACATGTGCAGGAATTACTTTGAAATGTACACCATTTTTGTACTCACGCCCCACACTGTATCTTCATGGAACCAACTTCATTATTGAACCAACCCATGGCTTGTAAGGAGGGATAGTCATCACAGATCTCCCACTGGCGTCCAATAAAGTTCTCTTTTTCAAAGATGGTAATCTTAGACTCTTTATGATTCTGTAACCCAGAAACTAAAAACCTTTAGAACTAGCGTTATGACTCAAGTTTATTCTTTGTCACATTTTTCATGATAGAAAGCTTTTAGGTTTACCAAAAACTACTTGATCCAAATTCCTTAATTTAAATGTAAACAAACATACCATTTAAAGTGTATAAATGGGCTTAGTTTGGCATCACATGCTAAGATACTAAAATAACTGATGATAAATAACATACAATTGATACAAATTGATACAATTGAAATATAAATAACTGATAAAATACTTTGAAACAAGACCAGGTGTGGTGATTGCATCTGTCATCCTAGCACTCACATTGAGATCAAGGCCAGCCTAAACTGTAGTGAAATCCTGAGAATATGTATGACGGTAAAAAACAAACAAACTTGTAACAGCCTACCAAAAGATTAATACCCACTGTAGGAAAAGATGTCACAAATTACTGCAAGAAGTGCCAATATGTGTATGCACTGGACATCCACATGGGGATGTGAATATGATGCAAGCATTAAAAAGGTCACAGGCTAATTGCATGAAGTTCAAAAAAACACAAACCTTGATCATAATGGAGCAGTTGACTGGCAAAGTGTATAGGAAATTTTTATGAGGTGACAATTGTTTGTAGGGTTAGGGTGTTCTGTACATAGGTGTATGTGTATTCCAAGTCTCCTGGCTATACACTTGGGACATGCATTTTATTGTATGCATAAATACAATTATACAGTTATACCTTAAGGGAGAAAAGACTAAAATAGAAAAAATGAAATCGTGTCCAGATAATTTTTTTAAAAAAGATTTAGAGCCTTTTTGTATGTGTAAATCACCACTGGTTGAGTTTTAATACCACTTTAAGATGAAGTCATTAATTTAAAAAATCATGATGGGGGGCTGGGGATTTAGCTCAGTGGCATAAGCGCCTGCCTTGCAAGCAGGCAGTCCTGAGTTCGATCCCCAGTACTGATAAAAAGGAAAAAGACCAAAAAAAAAAAAAAAAAATCATGATAGGAACTCAATATTTGGGAAGTAGTCTGGCCTCATTTTCAACGTGTCTGAAGATCTTCCTCTTTTGCGTAAACTGTTCCAAAGACTTAATGTAGCCTGATACACTTAGTGTTAGAATATTATGAACCGATGTAGATTAGTGGAAGACTTGCCTTATTCTCTTTTGGAAGTTTAAGCACTTCCCTGTTTCTACAGTAAAAAAGCAGGTTGAAATTCATTTGGTCACTTTTTATGAAACTACATGGTAAGTGCTTTTTCTCGTTCTGTAATACGTGCTTCCTGCCACCTGTAAGAAAACCTTTACATTTTGTTTAAGGAAAATGCCGTCTGGTAAAATCAAACCGCCAACTTTGAGAAAAAGGAGCAGTTACTTTTTTCTCTTTAGTCCTTCCTGTCACATTCAGCGTAACCAAAGAGAAGTCAGTTTTCAGTCTCTGCCCTCATGCCCCATCCCCTTGCACATAAATGGAAATTTCAGAGACTCACAGCTGAACAGATGGGGCGGAAAGACATGAGACGTTCAATGTGGTAGGCATTGCTTCCACTCCAGGCATCCCAGCGAGGATATTCTCCTCTCTCCAGTATAAACTGCTGCCCACAGAAGCTGGTATGCTCATAGCCAACCCAGCTGCCAAAGACAGGTTTGTTCATGTTATTGAAAGCTTATATGATCTCATAGAGAAAGCAGTATTCATTTTAGATTAGTTTATAGTTAGTAGAGTACCCCAGTAGAGCTTTACAAAATAATAAATTTATTACAAGAGGTAGGAAAGGGGCAGGCAGCTACACTAAGCAAGTTTGTAAATGGCATTTGTTTTGGGATTATTGCTTGAAAGAGTCTTACTTCATTGGCCCCAATGATGTCTATTATTAAAGCTGCGTTTCTCTCCAAGTCACCTATTCTCTTATCTAGAGTTCCAAATTCATGATGTAGTGACTGATTTGATTTTACTTCGACAAAATCTATAGACATCTTCCTAGAAAAGCAAACCAATGAATAGACAGCTGATGAGTGATAAATTTTTTCCTTGTCACTTTATAGATTCTCCTGCTGCCCCCTACATACTCACTGGAACATCCTAGCTTCATTTTTCACAATTGGGTCTTTATTACTGGTGACGTTAAAAGTGTTGCTTGTTTTAAAAGGCCTGAAGAGCTCCATTTTTGTGGCAAGCAACTTGTGGAAGGCTGGCTGCATGTAATGTCAGTTTTGCCTAGTTCATTCTTTTTATGTTTCAGGTTTTTAACAAAAGCCTGGCCCAAACCTGCCAAGAACTAGAAGACAAAGGTGAGAGGATCTTCTTTGTCAAGATTGGCCATCAGGAAGAAACTTGGAAGACTTGGAACTAATATGTCTCTGGAATCTTGGGGTTAAATTCCTCTTTATATGCAAAAATTAACAGTATCTGTTCTGGGGCATTCAGGAGGTGAGTTAGCTATAAAGTAGCTACCTGACGGTGTCCTCTCATTTTCTGTAAGCAAGAAAGACAGGAGGGTGCTGTAGCTAGTCTGAGAAAATCCTAGATAAAGCATAGGTCTGATGGGATCACACTGCCCCACACATCATATAGATTTCTTTAATTCCTTTTCCCTAACCAAAAAAAAAAAAAAAAAAAATCAGCTGAGAACATCATGGTCCTACCTTTGGTTACTAAATTATGCATGTAGTAATTTCTATTGCGATTACTCCGTGACAAAGACCTCTCCAAATGTTTAGTGTCTGGGGAACTTTTTTTCTTCCCGTCTCTATTCAAATTGTCCCGTGTCTAAAGGGAAATAAGGGACCTGCAGCTCCGAAGTCCATACTTACGCGCCACATTCCACTTTGAGGGACCGGACATTATCAAAACTGCGCTCAGAGACATTTGAACAGGAGCTGGTAAACTCCATCCTCTTGCCCTGGAAGTTCTCCTGGTCATAGATGGTTATCTAAAATGGGATTAAAGAGAGCAAGAAAGCTAGAACCTAGTACAAGTCTAGTTTAGCACTCAAATTGTGTCTACCCTGTGTTCTCTATCACCAAGTATAGCCCAGGATGCCTGATAAGATCTTTCACTGTAAAAAAAAAAAAAAAGAATCTCTGGGAAAACATATTAAAAAAAAAGATCTTTCACTGTAGACAGGGTAAGAAATTTGAATTAATGCCACTGGTTGATGATGTTCACATGCTCAGGCTAGGTAGACATGGGGAAAATGTTTTTAATAGGAGTTATTTGCCAAGGGTGATGGCTAGCCCAGGGGACAGACCAAAGACTTGTAGGCTCTTATTCCACTAAGCTTCCTGCACAAGTGTGACTTCTGGAACCCCCAGAAGCACCCTGTGGACTAGAAGGAAGGATTATTCTGGATGCCCTGTTTAGAGAGAGGAAGACCTGATGCATGAAGAGAGATGATACCTAGCTTCCTAGGTCTACTGTTTTTTTTTTTTTTTTGTACCAGGGATACAAAATGTCTCTGAGTGCAAATGTCTTTGAGCGCAGGGAAAAGGAATTAAAGAAATCTATATGTGGATTATTCATTTGCTTTTATTAAGCGTTAGGGAAAAGGAATTAAAGAAATCTATATGTGGATTATTCATTTGCTTTTTTAGCCTCACA